TCCTGAGGGCAGCGCCGCACCGGGGGGGGGTGTGAGGGGGGGTGAGTGCGCCCCGGCTTTTGCTCGCCATGTATAGTTAAAAGAGAAGCCTTTGTTTACAGGAGCCATGTTAACCTGCCCTCAGTGTTTGTCCCAAGCCGTTCTTACCCCCCACTTAATGAAAAAAATCAGTTAAAGTTTGGTGTCCCGGCAGTTTTAGTGGTGGAACTGGATTTGCCTTTCTCTGTTCCGGTGTTTTCCAGCAAAACGCCAGCTTTTGGTTCAGACTGCCTGGTTTTTCTGGCCGTGTACCCACTCACACCCCAGTGTCCCCACAGGCAGGTGCTGGCACCCACTGCCACCTCCCCACAGCTCCCCCGTCGCCCCCCCCCCCCCCCCCCCCCCGCGGGCAGTAATTCCCCCCCCCCCCCCGGCTGTCCCTAGGGGGGTTAATAGCAGTTAATTAGCGGGAGGTAGCTAATGAGCAGCACAGGATGGGTGGGATGAGTAAGCAGGTGAGGGAAGGGCTCCCCCGGGACTTTGAGGCGGGGGGGACGGGGGGGCTGTCCCTGTGTCCCCAGGGCCATCTGTCCCTCTGTCCCCGGTGTCCTGGGGTCGCCCTGTCCCCAAGGCCCCAGGGACATCCCTCCCCATCCTGCTGGAGGGGCTGTGGTGGTCCTGGGGACACCTCTCACCAGCACCCCAGGGGTGTCCCATCCCCGTGGCCCCAGGGACACCGTCCATGCTCCTGGGGTGTCCTTGCCCCCCCATGGGCTCTCTTGTCCCCCTGGGCTGTCCCACCCCCACGGCCTCGGGGACCCTGTCCCTGTCCCCCCGGGGTGTCCTTGTCCCCACAGCCCCAGGGGACACCGTCCCTGTCCCCCCCATTATCCCTGCCCCCCTCTGTCCCATCCCGGTGGCCCCATGGGACACCATCCCTGTCCCCCCGGGGTGTCCCTGTCCCCCCACGGGCTGTCCCTGTCCCCGTGGGGTGTCACATCCCTGTGGCCCCAGGGTCACCATCGCTGTCCCCCCATCATCCCTGTCCCCCGGGGTGTCCTTGCCCCCCTCATGGGCTCTCTTGTCCCCCTGGGCTGTCCCACCCCCACGGCCTCGGTGGCTCCGTCCCTGTCCCCCCGGGGTGTCCTTGTCCCCACAGCCCCAGGGGACCGTCCCTGTCCCCCCCCTTATCCCTGTCCCCCTCTGTCCCATCCCGGTGGCCCCATGGGACCCCGTCCCTGTCGCCCCGGGGTGTCCTCATCCCACCACGGGCCGTTCCTGTCCCCGTGGGGTGTCGCACCCCTGTGGCCCCGGGGTCACCGTCGCTGTCCCCCCATCATCCCTGTCCCCCGGGTGCCCTGTCCCCCCCAGGGGCTCTCACTGTCCCTCCCTCTGTCGCATCCCCGCGGCCCCGGGG